GTATTTCTAATTTAAATATATTTTTTCCATTAAATATAATTTTTTTACTATTATGATAATTTAAAATTATTATATTTTGTAAATTCATATTTTTAACCATTTTTTATTATTTAATAAAAGTTATACCTATTTTGGTCATTCTATAATCTAAACTTTTTTATGCAACTATAATCTAAATAATTTGTCTACTTTACAAACTAACTTTTTAAAAGTCAATTCAAACATAAATCACATTACCTAATCTGACTTTTCTAAAAATCATATTGAAAATAAGTTATTTTTTCTACCATTAATCCAAACAAATCCTTAAATGACAAGGACACTTTACTTTAGAATATATAACTTGTCAATTTCAATTGACTTGTTATCACTGGAAACAATTTCACTTATCTGATAAGTAAGTTATAATCCATTTTGTGATTTTATTGGTTTTGTATGTTGTAATTAGATGTGTTGCAATGCAACTTCAATGGAATGAAAATATATGTCTCTTTTCTACATCGTTGTACACAGCTTTTGGTACTCCTTCACTTGGGACAGGTTTGAAAATTTGTATTACTTTATTTTGCCGGACTAAAAAATGGTATTATTTAACATATTTATAAGCAAATGTATTATATAAGCATATGTAACTTGAAATAATTGCATCATAATTTTATATCACATTTTTAACAGTAGGGAATTGATAAATAAAAGTGCCTGTGTTGACAAGATATGATGTCAGTATTAACAAGTGAACATACTAGAAATAACTACTCACTTTATATTAAAATGATAAGGGTAAAGGATAAAAAATACTCATAAAAATATATCAAAAGTTTATCTAACACTATGAATGTTCTTTGGGTTCAAATCTATCAATCAAAGTTTAAAAAGAGGTCAATAATGTTAGTGCCATTAATGTCCGTTCTTTTAGTAGTTGGGCTAATAATTTTTTTTAATGAAAGTACCAAAATACCCTAAATTAAAACAAAAAAATTAAGGGTCAAAAATATTCCTGCACTTATATCAAAAGTTCACCTAACACCATATAATTTTTAATGAAACTATCAAAATACTGCAATCTTGACAGGCCATTGCATTAGAGTGTATTAGATATTATTAATTATAATAAATTTTTATATCCCAATCTTTATAATTGAAAAAGATTCTTAATAATCTTTAAATTAAAAAATATTATTAATGGTTTTTTAAAATTTTTTCTTTTTTTCGTTTAATAAAAACTAGCCAATTGTTATAGTTATCATATTAATTGTTATGGCTGAAAATATTTTAATAGCATAAATATTATACATAATAATTAAATTTTTTTGTAACTTATCATATTTTATATTTTAACATCATTATTTAAAATTTTTCCTTCTTCAATAAATCTAACAAAATAAATATTTATACTTTAATGCTTTGATTAATACTCATTTGATACTTTCACATTTTTAATTCAATTTAAAAAAATTTAATTAATTCTAGAAGAAAATTATATGAGGATGCTTTAAAGTTTGATTGAAATAAAGAATATGAATCCATATTGTAAGAGGGCGGACTTTTTTCTTGGAAGGGAGATGAGCTCAGAAGACCATCGACATGTTAGAGAGAGATAGTGATTTTTTTCTTTTTATTGGGAGTATTTTGGCACTTTCATTAAAAATAATAGATCTCACAATTAAAAATGACTTTAAATTTTCTCAAAGAATTGAATATAAACGTATAAAAATTTAGATTCACTGTTAAATTTGATAACATAGACTGGAGGATAACCATACAACTCAATATACCATTGGTACAAACAACTTATTTTAAAAGGTGCTTATAATGTCTTTTAAAAGAAAAGAATGGAGGCATAAACAACTTATCTTTAAACAGTAATTTAATTCAAGTTTAAACTTTTTTACACAAGTTAGTTTAAACATAAAAATTTATTATAATTAATAATCTCTAACACACTCTAATGCAGTAGCCCTTCGAGATTGGGAGTATTTTGGTACTTTTATTTAAAATTATATGGTGTTTGATGGACTTTTGGTATAAGTTCATAGGTATTTTTTACTCTTGACTATTGTGTTTGTTTTAATTGCAGGTATTTTGGTACTTTCATTAAAAAAAAAAAAAAAGGGTGCCACTGCTTGAAAAACAGACAATAACAATGCTAGCATTATTGACCTTTTTTTAAACTTCGATTGGTATATTTGAACCTAAAGAAAGTTCGTTGTATTGGGTAAATTTTTGATATATTTTCATGGGTATTTTTTATCCTTAACTTGAATGAAAATTCATATTATTTAAAAATAATTAACTTCTTCAAAATACAACCATTTTAAATGGTCATATATAATTTAAAGAGTATACATTGAATTTATTGCCTAAAACATAATTAAATTCTCAAATGAAACTCTACAAATCAAATTAATATAATGAATTTCAAAAACCAACCCGGTGTGCTTGTAATGACAAGCAAAGGTACCTGCATTAACAAGGCTTTTAGCATCTTAAAAATGATAAGTTAAAGTGCAAGCATTAACCATTGTCACAGTAGAAAAAAAGGAGGGAAGCTTCAATTGAATTACCTATGATACTCAGTGTTCATAATTTTGATATAAAATTATCAATTTTCTAAAAATATATTTAATTTTATATTTTATATACACACTAACTATTCATTAATTATATAACTAATAAATTGCTCTTACGCATGTTTATTCAATTTTTTCAAAAAATATTATGAGATTTTATACTTAAAATCTTTAAGATAAGATAGTCATTTTTGTAAAAACATATATAATCTTATACTACCTCTGGTTATTAATATAATAATTAATTTGACTTTCAATTTAGTCCTAAATATGACACTTCAATCCATTTGCTCTCTCATATTTATCTATTTTTTTAAAATAGTTTTTGTAGTAGTTGTATATGTTAAATGTTCAATCAAATGGTAGTTTTAGTTAATACATTATTAGTAAGGGTATTTTAGTGAAAACAACACTTAATTATTACAAATAACTAACACATCAAACTTTCTTAATCTACTCAAATTAGTCAACTAGCTCTTATATTAACAATCAGAAGTAGTATTTTATAAATATATACACATATTAATTATCAATTAATTATATTTTTCATATATGATTTATTATGTTGGCAAAAAAATATATTAATTGCAAATTCATTATTTGAAACAAAAATATAAATTAAAATATATCTTTTATATTAACTTGTTTCCCTTTTAGTAATCTGTACATGAAAAAAGTGCTTTTAATAATAATTATCCAAACACTTTTATTTTATCAAAATCACTTTTTCACAAAATCTGTTCAGTTAAAACTATTCTCAAAATAATTTTTTTTCCTAAAAGCTATTCTTCAAACCATAATTTGGTTTTATCTAAACATTCCCTTAAGTTCAACACTAACTACATTTTTAGGGATAAATTTGTCTTTCAAATTTTTTTCACCATGCTGAAAAATTGGTTCCACCAAAAAAGGTGTCAAGCCGCCTTCCCTTGTATAAGAAAAAATTTCTTTCTGTACGAATTTTATTTTCCAAAAAATATGGCGTCTAACGTTAGCTACTAATGGAAAATCCAATTTTTTTTCTTTTCTTATCACAGCATAGTTTGAGTCTTAATTAATCCTTAATTTACAATTACCTTCCATAATTTAATACTCCTCCGATCCTTAATATACAACCTAATTATGAAGTTGATTTTGGTCCTAAATATAAGACTATTTCTTATATCTATCAATTTTTTCCAAATCATCCCTATTAATACATTCTCAACCATAATCAAGTATGAGAGAGAGGGAAGATATAATAAAGATGATTAAGATATTTTAGAAAAAACATATCATATTTATTATAGTTAACTAACTTACCTAACTTCCTTAATCTAATCAAATTAGTTAAATAGGTCTTATATTAAGGACCAGATAAGTACTAAAAATGTGAGAAAGAAGCTGCTAGTCCACTACTGTAGCTAAGTATTCTAAATTTAAATAAAATTATCCTTAAATTTATTTTTTTGGATACAAGATGGTTAAAAATATGCGAGAATTATAATTAGATCCTAAGAAAGGGATTTAATTACTCTAAAATCTCAATAACAAGTGAGCAGTAAAAATCAGTTGTCATTTTTTACATTGAAACTTGTCATTGGATGCTCTTCAGTTGTTAACAGATTTTAGGATAATTAAATTCCTTTATTGAGATTTAATTGTAATTCTCCCGAAAATTGTTTACAATGGCTAATTTATATATAATTTTTAATTAATGAGGAAACTGAGATTCTCAAACGACATGGCTCATCATCATTAAAGTGATATACGAATAGTTTGCCGGTGGAATTTCATCTAACCACTTCGACGTTGACACTTGACAGGCCTGTGGTCCCTCACTCATACGTGCAACTGGATTCAACTGACGCGTAAAATAAAATAAAAATTGAAAATAAACATAAAATATAATTTTTTCATGTAATACATTATAATCCAATTTTCTTGCCAAAGGTTGGATGGCAACTTATATTTAGATTTCCCCCCTCTTGTAATACACGCAGATATCTTTTTCCCTCACAATTTACATGTGATACAATATAATTCGATGATGTTAGTGCAAACCGCAAGAATCTGTACGCAATGGCATTGTGCGTACAGCTGGCATAAAAAGTTTCCTCTACCATATCGTGCAAAATCATTTTCTCGTCATTGTCTCATATGCATTGGATTACTTATCTCCAAAATGCTATCTTTGATCCTAATTATAAGACTCAGTTGACTAATTTAGAGAGATTAAGAAACTTGGTTAAGTTAGTTATTTATAATGAATAGATGTTGTTTTTTCTAAAATATCCTTACTAATCAAGTTTGTTATTCAGAACTATTATTATTAGAAGGACTATTTTAAAAATAAATAAATAAGTATGAAAGACAAAATAGATTAGGGTATTATATTTATGACCAAAATAAAAATTAAACAAAATTTTATATTAAGGACCGTATCTGAACAAAAGTCTGCCAGAGTTGGCAAGAGTTGCTGCTGATGGTGTTGTCATCTTTTCTGGTCGTCCTCATGAATTTCCATTATTCAAGATTATTTCAAATTAAGCATCTTTCTTATTGAAATCTTAGAGGACCTAGTCTAGAATCGGTTTATGTAAGCTATATTTGTTTGGCCAATGAGTGTTTCATCCACCTAAATGACATGACACCATATTTTATGTTTTTACCGGAGTGAATACCTGGAAGAAATTTAGTCATTAAATATAGCTGTAATGCAATTTGTCATAGCATGGTGCAGTGTTTCAGTGCATTGTGGTTCTTGTTCCATCCTAAATTAATCTTCCGTACTGGAACAATCCATTTTCAAGTAATTGGTTTGAATTTTAATTCATAATAATCATGGGTTGTCTATAAATTTCCTTATATTTCTTTTTTCAAAGAAAAAACTTCATTTGATCTCCATCCTTTTTGGATGTACGTTTAACAGTTCATGTTGGGTGTGATAGGAAATGATATTCGGAAGTACATCTGCTTTTCTTTGCCTGATTTACCATCTTTATGCATAGGTTATCCAGGTCAGCAAAGAGCTAAAGACGGAGAAGTGGCAAAATTTGGCCGTCCAGTAAGTGACTTTTCTTTATTGGATGCCAATTTATGTTTTTCAGAGTAGGCATGAACTGTCGTTGCATTCGGCTTTGATGTTAGTAGTTAAAAATTAGACAAAGTAGGCACTGAAAAAAGAGACTGGAGTTGATTGTAGATCGAGGGATTGCAAGGGCAGTATAATTTATTTTAGCATACCAGAATCTGGATAGATTTATTGTGGATCAAACTCGTTTTGGAAGAATAGAATTTCCTTGGCATTTCCTTCTTGTTGCCAGATGTTTTATTACCTTCGTTAATGATCTAGAAGCAAACAATTTGTTGTTAAAAAGTGACTTTATGTTGGTTAACAATGTAAAGATATTGAAAATCAGACCAGTAATTAAACCGGTCAAGACAATAAATTAAGAGTTAGTGGGTTAGACCGGAGTTATGCCGAGAGTCAAACTGATGAGAATAAAAAAAAATAATTTAAATTTTCTCTAGGAACTATGTATCAATTTAATATCTTGAATCACTAGTAAAATAATCATATACTTATAATTTCTTATAATATCATACTATTAAAATTACTAAATATTCATCCCAACAAAATATCAAAATAGATATATGATAACAAAATATTCCTCTCTATAGCTATTTAATGACTGAGTCCTAATTATCAATAGCTTTTTAAAAAAATCATCAATATATATATTTTAAAAAGGGAACCGGGTTAACCCACTAAACTGGGTGGGTTAACCAGGTCATTACCGGTTTGGGCCGATTCAGTTCGGGTTTTCTGGCCAGTTTACTGGTTTCTGGTCCGAACTGACCGGTCCGGTTCAGTTTTTCATAACATGGCTAGTACTAAATATTAAGCAAATATTAACAATGTTGAAGTAAGCCACATACTGCGGTTACCACTGACAATTGGAAGTCTCTAAAGGCAATAAGCAGCATTAATTGTTGGATTCCATTTTCTTTGTTCACTAAAATTTCCCTCATTGTGTATTTGCTGGTAAAATCCCATGCCCATAAATCTTTCCTTTTTGTTATTCATCATCTTTCTCCTTTTTAGACTTTATCTCCTGTCAGTCTTTTTTAACTTAGCAGAGGCCTAAAGAATAAATTATGTAGATTTGATCATTGAAGAATAATGTGTTAATGGATTTTCCATCTGTGAAGGCCAAATACGAAGCTCGTCTTGGCGGATAAGGTTTTTTGTTCAGAGTAGTTTAGAAGAGAATGAAGCAGCAGGAAAGAAGTTTGAGCAGGCTGCAGCTAAGAGATCATACAAGCCATCTTGCCAAGTCTTTCATCTCAAAGCATACCCGTGAGAGTTTTATTGTTATATTTTTCAGTCAATTAAGGGCCGGAGGGTAAGTTCAATACATTATATGGAAATTAAAGATTTTACATTCCAGATTTGGATTATATTGAGACAATAGATGTATTTCATCGTGATGTGGGTTTCAAGTTCATTGGTTAATGGTTAATACCTTTGTATCATTATTGATTTGGATAGTGTTTAGAAGAAGTAATTATGAAACCCTATTGATTTTCTGTAGCTATATGTTTTGATGTTATGTCTAAAAATGTCAACCTTTATGCACAACCAAACACTGGACGAAAGAAATTTTGTGTCTTGAGGCTTTGCTTAATTTTTCACCAAGCCGACTCCAACGGAGGTTTTTTCATTAAAAATTGCTGGGCTTTTTTTGTATTGTCCAAAATTTGATATATGAATCACATTGTGTGTGGCTTGTGAATGTTGTGATTTGTTATAGATTTTGTGTTTGATATTATGTTTACAAATATAACAACCTCGACGCACAATCTAACACACTGGAGGATTGCAATTTTGTCTCCTGAGCCTTTGCTTATTCTGTCACAAAGCCAATTAATTCCAATGGAGGTTGTTTCAAAAAACACTTTGTGGGCTCTCTTTGTCTTGTATCAAATTGGAGGAATGAATCGCACCGGTTATGACCTGTGAATGTTGCTATATGTTACTTCTTTCTGTCCTTGATATAAGAAATACTACCTCCGATTCTAATTATAAGAGCCAGTTGACTAATTTGAGGAGATTAAGAAAGTAAGTTAAGTTAGTTATTTGTCCTAAATAGGTATTATCTTTCCTAAAATATCTTTACTAATCAAGTATATTGACTAGAACTATAATTATTAGAAGGGCTATCTTGAAAAAAATTGAGTAAATATGAGAGATAAAGTGGATTGGGATCTTATATTTATCACCAAAATAAAAGTCAAACAGGGTCTTATATTAAGGACCGGAGGTAGTATATAACTAATAAAAATCACACTTTGTGGATTCCCTATACATTGTATGAAATTTGGGAAATGAATTCACACTCATTATGGTATGTGAATATCATGATTTGTTATAAATTTTATAGATGGAATTGATATTGAGTTGACTTCTAGTAAACACAACAAACATTCTACTTCAAATTGCTGTGATCTGTTCAAGATCCAGCTTTTCTGTGATTCGTGGAATTTTTTCCTGCATGAAGTCTAGATGAAAATAGTATTTAGCAATTAAAACTTTCAGTTTTAAATATAAGATATAATCTGTACTGTAATTTAATCATCCTTAGTTTCTCCAACAGCAAATTTAATCAGAAACTCAACATCATAGCACAGCAAGAACCACAAGCAGGTAAAAATCAAATCATGAGGCACAAGTCACTTGGAAGGTTATACTCTTGACAGGGGAGATACTAACAGCAGTTCCAGTGCAGAAAACCTCATCAGCTTCAAAAATTTCTTCTACTGAAACTGTCTTCTTCAGCCTAATCAGATTTTCAATAAATTTTTCTAAGTCAAACAGTTCAGTTTATTGTCAAATTTCAACTTTTTCCTTTTTTTTTTTAACCCCTTTTTCTTTTTAGGTGAAATTTACCTGGCCTCTTCCCCCCCCCCCCTCTTTCTTTCTTTCAGCAACAGGATATGATTTGGTATTCAATATTACCCTTTTAGTTCCAATTCAAGTTAAGCAGAGTCTCGATTAAAAGAATTCTCCTAATTAACTTTTTTTATTCACAAGATTTAAGTTCCAAAATTTTAAAACATGCCAAGTTCTTTTTTCTTGACCCGGACATCGCTGGTAATTATTTATTTATTTTTATTGGCCCCTAGTTAATTTCAATCGTTCATAATATATATATAGTGTTGTATTTTTTTAAAAGATAAAAAATAGTGTCACCATTATTAAATATTTTCTCATCATTTCATATACAGAAATAACAATTACCTGGTAGCCCAAGGCAAGAGCTATGGAAATGAAGCTTTTTCTTGTAATTCCTGGTAAAATAGTTCCAGTTGCTGGTGGAGTTGAAATTACATTACCCTTACACATCCCATGAATGAAATAATTAATTATTTATCATTAGTATATAAACTAGTGACAATGAATATTTTTTTCTACCAACGCATAAGGTATAAATAATTAATTAAAACTGATTAACTAATTGATTAATATTCACCTTTACAATGAAAACATTATAAGATGATACCTCCTCTATATAAGACTTATTTAATTGATTTATAAATACTTTTTAAACGTGATTTACGGAATTTGAGATAGTTATATAAGGAGAATTTTATCTTGACTTATATAAACTTGCTTAAAAATCCCTCACGGAGCTCCAAATAAGCCCATGCTTGTCTGAGGGGGTGTTTGGATAGAAAACCAAACCTAGTTTCAGAAGTGTTTTTACGATTTATAAATAAATATATGAAGGAGCTTTTCTCGTTTTATGAAAAAAATGTTTTTGAAATCATAATTTAGAAGTTGCCAAATACGAGTTTGGAAAGAGGACGTCAGAAAATCCTTTAGCTTTTGCTTCTTTTGTCGCCTGAAAAACCTGCATCGAGTTGGACAGACGCCCCTTTAGCAAGTGCACTGCTGAACGAACAGCCGCTTCTGAGGCCAGACTTCCCCCATCTCCACTTCGGATCGACGATGTTCTCCGTGGTTTCTCACAATGTGGCGATCTCAATCTCTTCCTCGTCCTCCACTTTTTTAGCTCCCGCAGACTTCAATCCAAGGTAACTTTTTTCACTTCAAATCCTTTCTGTTTTTCGCTTTTTGTTTGCGTTCCTAGAGGAATGAGGCCCCACCCAGTAAAGCTTACCTGCAATTTTTGCCTTTTCTGCTTCATTTGGATGTTGTAGGAGTCAAAAGGTGTCCTTGAATGCGAAAAATGTGGGCATATGTAAATGCGTTGCGGCACCCGAAGAAGTGCTCACTGGTATCGTTAAATTTTGTCCTTCATAGCTTCTTTTTCCTTCCCTATAGTGAAAGTTGTGATTTTTCTTGTTAGGCGATACTGGGGTATATGTAGGTGGTGTGAAGATTTCTTTTCCCCTTCTCGTTGACCTGATAGATTGCTCACTGAATCTGAAAGAGGATTGAGTTATGTTGTGTTCTGCTCTTTTTTCTCTACAGCAAAACGAAGATACCTTTTTAACAAACGGCTTAGTTGTCTGTAAATTACCGAGGAACCGTTACCGAACTGTTCTATATACTAGGGGTTACGAACACATTGTTAGTTGCTGCTGAATGAGTGTTCTCACTTGTCTCTAGGAGCCAAATTTATTAATCCTAGATTATGTAGTTAGTTCAATTCAGACAATCTAGCTGCTGTTTCTTTTGTTTTGTATTTTTAAGAACATGAAAAATCAGAAAAGTCTAGGTATGAAATGCAATGGATATACTCTTCCTGAGAAATTTGAAGCAATGGAGCGACTAGAAGAAGTTTCAAGTTCAAAGATTTTCAATAATCACCTTTTCGATTCAATAATCTTGAAATTGCTCTTTCTACATTTGTACAAATCAACGAAGATACTGGCCCAAACTATCTGAAGTTGAAGGTGGTTTCTGTAGTCGAACAGGCTTTTTCTGGCATCTAGTAGAATATGTATTGGAAGAGTTGTTGTAGGCTATATAATCTTTGAAGAGCTGTTTACAGAAGCAAAAAGCTCATGCAAGCTCCGCTTGTGCATTTTGGGAGAGTGAAAGGATATACTTTGAACACAAATTTGTCTTTCGGTGTTAATTGAAACAAGACTTGGGAATGATTATCTCCACTCTGTTAAATAAACTGTAGTTATGAAGTTTGAAACCCATTGAATAACACCAATCAATTGATGAACTCCATCCAATTAATTATGAACACCGGTTCCTAGAATTTTATCATTCTATATGGTAATTCCTTCCATAGCTTGATTTGTGTACTTAAAAATTCTATATAACCTTTGAAATGTGAATATTTGCTGATTTTTGGACTTTATATAAGAATGCATATGCAAAAGAACATGCCAGAACTAGAAAAGCTGAGAATTCTTGAATTCTTCCTTCTTTGTTATTTGAAGTCATGTGTGACAATATGCTTCTTTTCTTTTCATTTTGAAGCTTACAAGACAAAAGTTTCCCGCAATGCAAACATGGGAAAACTTCAAGCTGGTTATCTCTTTCCAGAGGTCTGTAATGCCATTTGACATTTTCTGCTGCTAGTCTTGTTCTTCATTGATCCATTGCTCCAGTGCCTTAGATTTGATTGATTATTATCACAGCGCAACCTATGGAGTTTTGACTATTAGTGGTTTTTCTTTAGCATTAATTTCCCCCCATTTTATGTTCCCTTTGGAAAAGGCTCCCCGTTCTTGTACACAAAATGGCATCGATGTCTTAGTTTACATGTTTCACATCAGCAGTTCATATGTTGAAGCCTGCGGGTGGTTTAGTCCTGGTTTTCATAGATAAAAGGGTGGGAGATTGAGTATGTAAACATTTGCATTGATTGATGTTCTCTTTTAATCTTGAGAGATAAAAGAGTCCACTTTCATTTACTTCATGAAAGTTAAAGTTGTCATTCAAGTGATATTCAAAAGAATGCCTTTTCTCACCTTATTCCTCAACTAGACAAATTGTTATATTTGAATAAAGTTGTTGTAGTTGATTGTTTTAGTGCAGAAAATAGTGGAAGAGAGATTTATGCTATGATATATGCTTAAAAATGAAACATTTGAATCTGGAAGTTTTTATATCTTGTCTGCCTTGAGAAAGACCTATAAAGGAGGGGAACAGAGGTATCATGCACCATCTTTTTTTTAATCTAACTGAGCTGACAAAATGGACAATTTTTCTTCTCCCCCCCCTCCAAAAAAAAATTTTGAGGATGTTTTT